GATCGTGAGAGTTGGGAGTGGAATTTAGGCCTATTGATTCCTAGATTAGTGCACAGTGTGTTGTGTGGCTTCTTTCATAAAACATCAGCTCTCTTTGGGGAGAGATGTGTACAATACCTGTGGGTGAAGTACAGTAAACAGTGGCATGATCCCTTGAATGTGTGAGTCACCAGAATCTAACACTATCCATTAGCTTACTGTAATTAATCCAATGCCTTGGTTAAGAATCCAGCTTCACCACTTACTACTTGTGTGATCTGGCTAAGTCTTAATTTCCTCATCTATAAAATATGAATAATAAAATGAATAGTATCTACCCAATAGGGTTGTTGCAAGGGATCAATGACAGAATATTTGAAAAGTGCTTGATGTAGTGCCTGCCATGGGACAAATGTTCAGTAACTGTTAGCTATTATTTGTTGAGCATTTAGTAGGTGCCAGACACTAATCTAAGAGCTTTGTAGATGCCATCTCTAATGTTCACAACTCGTCTGTGAAGCAGGCATTCTTTTTTTTTCCCCTCACCCGAGGACATTTTTGCATTTATCTTTAGATAGAGTGGGAGAGAGAGGGGGAGAAAGAGAGAGAAACATCGCCGTGAGAGAGACACATTGAGTGGCTGCCACCCACACGACCTCAACTGGGGCCAGGGACAAAATGAAACTGAGGTACGTGCCCTTAGCAGGAACCGAACCTGGGACTCTCTGGTCCGCAGGCTGATACTCTAACCGCTGAGCCAAACTAGCCAGGGTGAAGGAGGCATTCTTGACAAGCCTTCCTGGTGAGAAGAAGGAGGACTGATTGAGCTTATACCTTCCGCTGCGTTGGTCATTTGAAATTGGGCATTTGGTAACCTCTGTTGACATAAGTACATATATGCCATGGTGAAATATCTTCCTGGGGGTATGTCTGTGAAATTTTTGTAAATCTTACTAAAGCTCCTTGAGAGTGAAGCCTGTCCCTTGTGCATCTTGGTGTCTTCTATTCATCTTGGTGTTCTTTGACAAAGCCTAGTCCCTTTCTCCACCCAGGATGTTCAGTTAATGTCAAATAGAATTAGGGGTCATCTCTTCAAGTTGATTAGATGCCTCCTCCCAAGGAACATTTTCCTCCTGGGTCATTCATTTTGAATTTCTTAAGTCATAATGCCTTATCTTGGCATTCAGACCCCTTCTCAATGAATTTTCAATCTACCTTTCCCCCCCTCATGAGTGCAGTGAATGGTTTGTTGAAGGACTATTTATACTGTTGGAAAAATGGAAAACAACCTTAATGTTTAGCTGAAGAAGAATGGTTGAATAATTCATGATGCACTCTATCACTTATACCATGCCATGCATTGTTCTAAGCACTTTTAACATAATTTACTTGTTTAATCTTTAGAATCACTTTGTGAGGTAGATACTACTATCCTCATTTTTCAGATAAGAAAAAAGAGCCAGAGCGGTTAATTGATTTATCCAATGTCACCCAGCTAGGAGGTAGCAGAGTCAGGATTCAAACTCAGACAGCTTGACTCCAGAGTCCGTTCTCAACCATTAACAGTCTCCCAGGGAGCAAACAAATGGTGCATTAAGCCACTAGTAACTTGCCTAAGAGTATTTCCCCTGCATCTAATACAGGCTGAAGTGAATGAATACATATATAGAGAAAATGCTTATAATATACTCTAAATATATACATTAGGATCTGAACTATGGAAAGTTCTACAAAAATACACAGTAAATGACAAAGAAAATAGGCCAAAAGGTAAATTCTGCTTGTGGCCAATTTTTCCACCTTGCTTCTTTTTTTTTTTTTTATCCTCACCTGAGGACATTTTTCTATATTTTGTTCAGACAGAGTGGGAGGGAGAGAGAGAGAGAAACATCGACGTGAAAGGGACACATTGAGTGGTTGCCACCCACACAACCCAACAAGGGCTGGGGACAAACTGCAACCAAGGTATGCACGCTTAGCGGGAACTGAACCCGGGTGGGTCTCTCCAGACCACAGGCCAATGCCCTAACCACTGAGCAAAACTGGCCAAGGTTCACCTTGCTTCTTTATACTTGTTTGACTTTTTAAAATTTCTGAAAGCAAACTTTATCAGTAAAATCAGAGGAAAAGAAGTATTAAAAATAGATTTTTTAAAAACACGAAACAGCCCGGCTGGTGTGACTCAGTGGTTGAGCATCAACCCATGCACCAAGAGGTTGCTGGTTTGATTCCTGGTCAGGGCACATGCCCAGGTTGTGGGCCAAATCCCCAGTGGGGGGCATGCAGGGGGCAGCCAATCGATGTTCTCTCTCATTGATGTTTCTATCTCTCTCTCTCCCTTCCTCTCTCTAAAATCAATAAAGAAAAAATAAAATAAAATAAAACCATGAAATAGTATAGAAGAAGGTTTAGGACAAATACCAACTGATATCAAATACTCTCCCCTCCCTCACACCCTCCCCCCCAAATTTGTTAATTTCAAAGAGGTTTCATTGACCAACACACTCTTGCACAAAGCCTGACCATTACTGCACGTGACTCAGGTGGTCATTCTCAGGTCTGAACACACAGTATGCAGCTTCCACTTTTGTTTGGCTAGATATCCCTTAAGAGAAATCAATTTCCTGGATCTTTTTGAGAGAATTTATAAGTACCTTTGATTTCTCAGAGTCCCTTTGTCCCTGTATTTCCTACCATTCCTGGTGCCTCCGGTCTCCTGGGCAATATTTATGAGTCCTGCTCCTAGATAGCAGGGCCACAGTTTTGGCAGTTGCAGCCTATGAAGTGTCCCTGACTTTGATGGGCTTATCCAGCCTTTTGCAACCTCAGGGCCAGAAGTGGTATAAAACAAAGAGGCCTTAGTTTCAATGCACAACTCGACACTCACTAATAGACTTTAAGCAACTCACTTTAGCCCTAAGACTCAGGGTTCTCATCTCTAAACGAGGATGATAAAGAATCTTACCTACCTCACAGGTTATTGTGAGTCTAAAGAGGACTACCCAAGTAAAATAATGTCCATGTAAGCCATTTGTAAATGTAAAGATTTATATTCACGTGAATTCTCTTCATTTATTTGTAGCTTCCCACTTTCTCATACCCTTTGGAGTCATTGAAAAAGTCCAATCAAAATAAAATGAAATTAAATTAATTAACATTAACAGTAAAGAGACTGAGGGAAGAAGCTTGATGGGAAGGGAACTGGAGGAATACTGTGTGAGACTGAGGGATGTTGAGGAGGCAGATGTAAGAATGTGAGAGGGTAACTGTCAGGCGTAGAACTTTGCAGAAAGGAATGCTGTAAGTCAGGGGTGGGGGACATCCGGCTGGCGGGCCATGTATGACCTGAGAAATTAATGCCAGCTAGCATCACACGCTTCACCAAAGGGAAGCAGTTCTAGCTATCACATTAGGGGTGAGTTAATTAAATGTTTGACCAAATATAGCAGGCTAATTTTTAAGTTGATAATTTTGTATGGCCCGTGAATGATGGTATAAATATCCAAATAGCCCTTGGCAGAAACAAGGTTCCCCACCCCTGCTGTAAGTAGACGCTGTAAGTCTTGCTCATGATGTTTGGTATACCATTTTGTCTCTTTAAGAAACCTTCAGTAAAGACTTCTCGCACTTTTTCATGTTCTTGGAGTGAGGTATGTACTCATTCCCTTGTCCCCATGCATAATCTCATGCTAAGACGCCCTTAAGGCAAGAACAGGAAGAGCTGAGATGACTTAAGTGCACTAGGGTTCTAGAATGATAACTCCTCCCCCAAGGGAGAATTGAATGAGAACTTGCACATAGACTGCCTTGCACATGGTGATTATTATTGTGAGCCAGGAGAAATTTTCCTTAAATATAAGTGATTTGATAACAGAGATGGTTTTTCCTTGTATTTCCTAGGACTGAGCTGGGCACTGAAGCTGATTGGGTGAAGGACAGTCCAACCATACCTATACCCACACTATAGGTTCATTTCTCTGACCTATCCTGATCACACCTTGCTCACACCTTACTCTGAGGTCTGGGAGCCACCAGGCCACTGCTTGCTATACTAGAGGCTATGTGGCTGCCATTTTCCTTGTCTGTGGCTGTGGCTGTGGCCCTCCCCTGAGTCCCATGTCTAGTGTTAACTCTGCCTTCTAGTATCCTCTGCTGCCCCATTCCATGTTCCACTGGCCCATCTGGACAGGAAGAGTAGCAGTCCCTGGTGCCTAAATTAGAGATGCTGTTACTCTATTTCTATTTTATAACTTAGCTGTCTCTAGGCATCTGAGGCCCAAGGTAGGGGGCAAATACAGACCACAGAGCAGTTCCTTTAACCCACAGCACACGCTCATGTTGGACAGTAGGTGCTGAAAGTGTACAGAGGGGAGCTGAGAAGGTTATCTAAGGGTCTTGATGAGCATCTGTAGTGGAGTGAGGAATAAGGGTCTGAGAGGACACTTTCAACTGCCTGCACCTTCTTACCCACCACAAGACTTTAAGAGCATCTCCTCCAGTTCAAGAGTGCTATGAAAATATAGTTTGGGAGTAGGTTGTAAATTTACATTATAAAGTAGGGCATTATTTTTATTAGCCAGTAAGGTACCTAAAGTGATGACAGTGAGCCCTGGCCGGTTTTGCTCAGTGGCGCGGGGATGGAGGTGTCGGGTTGGATCCTGGTGAAGGGCATGTACCTGGGTTGCAGGTTTGGTCCCCGCCTTGGTCAGGGTTGTGTGGGAAGCAACCCATCAACGTGTCTTTATCACATGGATGTTTCTCTCTCTCTCTCTCTCTCCCTCCCTCCCTTCCACTCTACCTAAGAATCAGTGGAAAAAATATCCTCGGTGAGGATTAAAAATAATAATGATTCAGCCTCCTGCCTCTCATTTATAGGTCAAACAGCCCCAACCAACCAGACAGCAACTTTGAGGGAGTAGCCCCTAAATGGAGTAGCTCCCTACCTGCTCCCATCCTGGAAGCTTGCCAGAGGCACTCCTACTTGCCTGCTCTTCTGCCTCACAGCCCCAGAGACTTCATGTCATCTGTGGTCACTTCAATTCTGCAAGTCAAGAATCTACAGTGAAACTTTTCTCGTTTTCCCCATAATTTGGTTGGGGTGCTGGTAAAAAGACAGCTATGGAGTGGACTCAACATTGTAAAGAAAGCCTCTCCTCTGTTTCTTGTTCTTGGTTTCTATTTATCATTGGCACAAAAGTGATACCAAAGAAGAAAGTGATTAAGTTTTCAATGAATGTGGAAGAAGGCTGGAATTGTAGCTCTTCCATTTCTGAGGTGACTTTAGTTTCCTCAACTATACAGTGAGGCTAAGGCCACTACCTATCTAATGATGAGGAGAGACAATATAATTAGCAGAGTGCTTTTGCTCCCCAAATGGTAGGTATTATATGGATGTCCCCTTTTTATCTTCCCTGTCATTGTCATGGCTCCCATTATATCTCCACCCATGCTAGCTTCCAAGTTGGTCTCTGCACTCCATGCTTGCAGTCTCTGCTCCTACCATTCATTTTTCAGCATACTGCCAGAGAAATTAGTGTAAAACACAAAGATACATGTCATACCCCTGCACAAAATCTTTTTTGTTGTTGTTAATCCTCACTCAAAGATATTTTTCCATTGATTTTTAGATAGACTGGAAGGGAAGGGGAGACACACACACACACACACACACACACACAGACAGAGAAGGAGAGAGAGAGAGAGAGAGAGAGAGAGAGAGAGAGATCGATGTGAGAGAGACACATTGATTGGTTGCCTTCCGCACAACCCTGACCAGGGCCTGGGATCAAACCTGCAACCCAGGTACATGCCTTTGACCGGGAATTCAACTCGTGACCCTCTGGTCCACAGGCTGATGCTCGGACCACTGAGCCAAACTAGCCAAGGTGTGCACAAACTCTTTCAATAGTTTCCAATTTTCTCAGAATAAAGTCTAAAACTCCCCAAATAGTCTTATGAGTTTGTCTGCTTCCACTCAATCACACATACATTTTACTGTTATGAGCACCTTCTGTATATTAGACACTAAGCTAAGTGCTTCACAGAGATTTCACATAATCCTGGAAACAGCACTGTCTGTAATATCTCCATGTTATGGAAGAGGAAAGGGAGGCTCAGAGAGGCAAGGGAACTCACATCAACACACAGCTAGTTGTCAGGGATTTGGATTCATTCTTCTTGGCACTCTCTCCAACTGGAGCTCTTTCTACAGAGCAGTGATGCTTTCCCAGCAGCTGGGAAGGGTCAGCAGAGGCAACAGTAGGGGTCCAGGATCTGGGGAGGGAGAAAGCAGTGTTTGGAAGAAGGGTACTGGGGATGAGATGAGGATGTTGTTACCTCTACTTTTCCAGACTGGCGGTAGGGAGTGGCCACCTCGATTCTGGGCCTGGGCTTCAAGCACTTGCAGAGTGTGTACCCCACCTCCTGTGCCCAGAGGACCTTCCACTTGCTGGTTCTTCCTCCCCTGCCACACCCCCTTCCCTTCAATCTTAGAGCCAGGGGCCAAGAGGGTGCTCTAGAGGCACTTGGGAGACGATTACTGCCTCAGATAGTCACATCCTTTCTACCCAAGCGGTGGCTTAAGGCTGCTTGCAGCCCTTCTGCAGGCGGTGTTCTGTTTTAGGGAAGCGGCCAGGGCCCACCAGGGAAGGCCATTATGTGGCTGGCGGCGCTTGTTCAACACGCATTTTCCTCTCGCCTTCCTCTAGTAGCCCCAGCGAAGGGGAGGAACCCGCTTCCTTCCTTCCGGACCACCCTACCTGTGGCCTCTGGCCCACCAGCCAGCAGATCATTGGGGTGGAAGTCTGTGCGCGGGATTCGACCTCACTCCTTCCTTTCTGTCTGTCGCATTTGAAAGCACCGAGTACGTGCCACGCCGGATGTCGGGAGGCTCTCGCCTAACCCGAGAAACAGTTTGTTGCTTCATAGTTTACATAAGAAATCGAGGCTCAGAGAAGTTAAGTGACTTGTTCGCGGTCACGCAGCCAGAATTATAGTTCCTGCTTATGACGATGAAAAGTGGGAGGGTGCCGGATTCAACCCTCGGGACCTGGGGTAGAGACGGCATTGGGGGATCCTCGCCCCGCTGCGTGACCCCTCTCCCCAGCATCACGTGGTACCCTACCCGGCACCCCTGATCCTGAAGCTTGCTCACTAGCGACCTCCAGAGGGCTAGTCCTATTTGGGGTTCCGTGCGGTGGGTGAACCCACTCAGTCTTCCTATTTGCATAACGGAGACTGCTGCTTCCCCGCCCCTTCACTACGCTCCTCTTCCCTTCTTCCCGAGTCCCTTCCACCCTCATCCCTTGTCTCCCGCTCCTCCCCAGCAGACCCTCCTCCCTTCGGGGACTCCAGCTTGGGGCTCCCAGCCTTAGGGCTCTCCTGCCCCCGCCTTGGACAGAGTTCTGAGGCACCCGGGGGAGTGGAGTCCTGGGCTGGGCCAGCTGGGGAAGACGCCTGGGGCACTGCCCAGCGCTAACAAAGGGAGCCAGCTGCCGGCCCGCTGGGGTGTTGAGCAGGCGGAGCAGCCGCAGCCTCCGCGCCGCTCGCGCGCAGAGTGAGTAGGGGTGCTGTAGGCCACGGCGCAGCCTGGGGGGCTGCCCTGCCCCCGGGAGGAGTGCCGCGTAGGGGTTCAGGAGGGGAGGGGAGCGGCGGCCCCAGGCGCGCCTAGTGCGCAAGAAATCGGTGTCTAACGCCGCCTCAGCCACCTTGGTTGCGGGCTGGCCACCTTTTGGTTCGGGGTGCCTGTGTTTTTGTCCTGGTAGAGGGGCCGCCCTGGTTTCTTGCCAGCTCCAAGCTCCTGCTGACCCACAACAAACCCACGTGTGCTCGGCCACCAGGAGCCCTGCTTTCTCCACAGCACTGTCAGTAAGGAAGGGTGGGACGCCTTGTAACTGCCGGGCTCCTTCAGATCCCGCCTGCCGGATTCAAAGACCAGGAAACAGCTTCCCTGGGTGGGTGGGTGGGTGGGTAGGTGTGTGTGTGTGTTGGGGCGGGGGGGGGGGGCAGCACAGGCACTATAACAAACACACCTATACCCAGCTCTGGGATCCCTGAGCGCAGCAAACCCTTAGGAGCCGCCCTGCGGAACCCGGCCATTGTCTCAGCTCCAGGGTGGGGAGCAGCGCTGGGGGCACGCTTGCTGGAGGAGGTCGACAAAGCCACCGGGGCATCAGACCAAACTGCCAGACTTAAACAGTGAAAAACGAAACAAGAGAGCAGCTACGGGAAGATTACTGCAGGCTGAGTCTGCCCTCTGTGACCAGGACAACCCCTCACTTCCACCTCACGGAGGTTTTAAGGGTCTATGGGTCCCCCTCCAAAAAATGACCGAGCCTATTACACCATTGCCCCTGCGCTCTGGTGGGAGGTCGCGAGCACCTCCGCAGCCCGCTGAAAGAATGGTACAGTTTAAACAGCGCCCAGCGTGGTCTTGGGTTTCATTTGCGCTTTGCTTTGTAGGTCTGCCCTGCGTCTAGCCTGCCCCAGTGTCAATGGCCCCTTTTGGCTTGTTATGCATTTTACTAGCAAGGCTAACCGAGGCCTCCTGGGGGGGGGGGGGGGGCACTGTTATCTTCAGTTCTATTGGAGTTTGAGAGGAATTCCGAGGTCTGGAAAGAGAGGCCTCTGGTTTTTTTGTTTTTGTTTTTTTTGCTTACTGATTCTCAGCTCAGCTTTGCAGATTTTGGTTAATCAGACCAGTTCAGGCAGTAGCAAAGATGTCTGAGAGGATGAATTGGCATTTCACATGTTGGTGTTGGTGCAGGAGTAAACCCCGCACATTGTGGGAGTAGGAATGTCGGCACCACTGCTTTAGTGCGCTTGATGAGCAATTGGGTTGTGGCTTCACCTTGGCTAGTACGGCTGGAGATTAGCTTGTCTCTCGGGAGAACTGGGGAGCTTTCAGCCCCACACAACTTTTAGTGAGAATCTAGAGAGCATCCACGGAATCCACCTATTTTATAGGTGGGAAATGGGGACCTGTTGAGTTCAGCCCCTTGTCCAAGTTTAAACTGAAATCCCATACAAAGACAGGACTTGAGTATGGGTCTCCCAACTCCCACACTGCACACTGCCAGGCAGACAGCAGAAGGCAAAACCAGGCTTCTGTGGTTGGCCTAAAAGGCAGTGGCTTTAGGCAGAATAGAGTTAAACAAAGAAAGTAATTCAGATTGAAAGCTGCACCCTTCCATTATCCCTTTCGCGAGTTCTTCTTTTTTTCTTTATTGATTTTAGAGAGAGAGGAAGGGAGAGAGATAGAAACTTCATTGATTGGCCGCCTCCTGCATGCCCCCCAATGGGGATTTGGCCCACAACCTGGGAATGTGCCCTGACCTGGAATCCAACTGGTGACCTCTTGGTCCACACTCAACCTCTGAGCCACACTGGCCAGGCAGGAGTTCTTTATTCATATGAGAAAAAGATATTTAGCAATTCCCTACTCTTCTTCTAGCCCTTCATAAGCTTAGTTATTTTTCTCTCCTGGCTTTCCCCTCCCTTCAAATTGGAATAGGGCCAACTGTGGAGACTTAGATGTTTTGCCTCTCATTCCTGTGCCAGAAGGCCTTTGTTTGGGCATAAGCATGGGCTGTTGACATCAGCCCCGCTGGGAAGAAAGTATCTCTTAGCAGGCTACTCCTAAGCCACTTGTGAAAGAACAAAGCATTGTTTTCATTGATTTTATTTAATTAAAATTTTTAATGAGAGTTCCATGTAAGTAGCTGCTTATTTTTGTATTTGGCAGAGGAAAAATTGGAAAATCAAAAAAACACTTGGAGTCTGGGTTTTCCCGAAGCTAACATGCTGTTTTACTATGTCCCTGTTATCTCTTGGCTGCATTTGTTTCTTTCTTAGGATTTCCAGGGTATTTCATTTTCATGTTGATTGTACCTGGCATAAAGAACTTCAGAAATTGTCTATAAAAACTGAGGCCTAGAGAGGAGAAATTGCTTGCCTAAGGACACTCAGTAAGGTATCTGCTTTTAGTCTCTCTTTTTCTTTTTTAATTCTCACCCCAGAATATGTTTATTGATGAAAGAGAGAGAGAAAGAAGAGAGAAACATCAATCAGTTGTATGCACCCCAGCCAGGGATCGAACCTGCAGCTTTTTGGTGTATGGGACAACACTCCAACCAACTGAATCATCCAGCCAGGGCTAGTGCCTCTTTTTGTTTAAAAGGGAAACTGTTGCATCAAAAGAGTTTTTGTTGGTATGCCACAGTAAAGTCAAAGTTATGATGATGGTTGTTATAACAACCACCTTTAAGTCAGATAATGAATTCCTTAAGGATTCAAATAGGTTTTGGTTATTAAACAAAGCCATAGCTCTCAATGGTGAGGTTATCATTGGGGATCTGTTTTCTTTAGTGTTTACTAAATGGTTCACTTTACTCTTGCCCTGGGCTCCCATAATATAATTTTTTCCCAGTAGGGAGCTGCTTTGAGTATAATCATGAAACAGAAAGCAGCAAAAACTCAGAAGAGAGAGACCCACTTAGCTCTTTGTGCTACTGAACTTCTTGGGCTCCAGTTTCCTTACTTGTACAGTGGGAGTCCCTTCTGCTCAGTGTCTGCACAGTCTGTTCTAGTGAAGTGAAAGATGCTCAGGCCTCAGAGTCAGAGAAGTGGCTTTGGGCCACCCCTCTTTTCCACTGTGTCCCCTGAGAATCAGCAGGCTGCATCTACATTGTATAATATGAGGGGAAAATTACGCATGAATCTCCTGGGGTGGTTATGAGTATTAAGTCAAGTGACCCACGCTTAGGACTGTTAAGACCTCTTGGCAGGTTTGGGTGCTCCCAGCTTTTTAAGTGGCAGAAAATGATGGGGGTGGGGGGATGACCCCAGAGGTTAAGCACTGTGCTCAAGGAGACCCAACCGAGTCACAAAGAGGTGTGAATGTTTGCCAAACTGTAAAGTGGGCCTTTGGATAGCTGTGAAATGTGTGTGACTCCAAGGTAGATAAACTTAGTAAAACACAAATGAAAAGCAAAACCAAAACTTTCAGGCCCAAATGAGTGAGACCTAAAGACATTCCATTCATTTATTTCATATTTACAGACAAGCAGGCGGGTTGGGTGGGGGTGTCCTGTGCTCAGCCTGGAGTTATAAAGAACATGACCCATTCTCTGACTCACCACCCTTGCCCAGAACACATTTGGAGAAAATAGATCTCATTTATTTCAATATTGACCTGAGTGGGGTCCCCTGTTCTTCATAAATAAAACAAGTGGTTAAATGAGGGCGTGGAAGAGGGAAGGGTTCAAAGAGAATGTGTTTGTCTACAAATGTGAGGATGTGGTAGCATTAAAAAAAGACAGGAATAAATTGTTAATGAAATTCATGGTAATCTTCTGGAACATTAGAGTCCTGAGAATTTGCTCAGACCTGGTGTCAGTGATTTGTTCAATAAGAACCAAATTGGGGGGAAAACATTTTTATTGCTTGTCTGCATGTATATTACATGTATGCTCCATATATTCTGATTCTGAGAGATGTACTTTTTATGGGCTTATATGTAATGGTAACATAGTTTCACATTAAATACTTGGGTGATTTTCTAATCATTACTAGAAGGGTCAAGTTAGCCTTTAGAGTTAATTTGGTGATTTAAAACTTTTTTTTTTATCCGAGGACATTTTCCCATTTTTTGTTCAGATAGAGTGGGAGGGAGGGAGAGAGAGAGAGAGAGAGAGAGAGAAACATTGATGTGAAAGGGACACATTGAGTGGTTGCCACCCACATGACCCGGCCAGGGACAAACTGCAACCGAGGTACATACCCTTAGTGGGAACCGAACCTGGGTCTCTCTGGACCTCAGGCTGACGTTCTAACCGCTGAGCAAAACCGGCCAGGGCAAAGCTTTTTTTTTTTTAAATAAGTTTTTATTGAACTTTTAGAGACAGAAACATTGATGTGAGAGAGAAACATCAATTGGCTGCCTCCTGCACATGCCCTACTAGGCATGGAGCCCACAGCCTGGGCATGTGCCCTGCTGGGAATCAAACCTGGACCTCTTAGTCCATGGGATGATACTCAAGCCACTGAGCCACACTGGCTGGGCTAATCTGGTGATTTAGATTGTGTTTATCATTTTGATTATAAGAATAAAGCATG